AGGAAATAACTCTACAGCAACGAAACTCTACAGAGCACTGACCAAGGGGAACCTTAGCCTCACTTGCTTCGAAGGAATAAAATATTATGGCAACAGAAACGAACACCCATTCTTATGATAGATTTCGTCACAGAAAACAAAACACAAACGCAACAAACTAAACATTCAAACTGAACTCTGCAGGTGAGAAACCGTCTCTGTCAGTCTTCGTGGAAATCTTCGTTTAATGCACCGAGGGTTAAGCCGTACTCGCAACTTCTATTTCTCCTTTACTACTTAAGTACGATGTATCCCAACCCTCGGTTGGAGAATGGGCGTTGTGTGACGAGACCAAAATAACGGCTGCGAAGAAGACTACAGTAGGCGAAGTACCAATGCATTTTATTTTTGCTTAGATGAATAGCGAGGTTTATCTTTTCTTTCTCTTAGGGTTAAATAATTCGTTCGCTGAAAAATATGCGCAGCATGCTCACATTCTTATTTTTGCTTGGAGAGTTGGTGTATCACTTTAAATTCTTTTTTTCTATATAAGCGACATGAAAAAGCCAGTTCAGGTTTGAAAAGAAAATTTTTAGATATGCTTCATTAGATATTTTTGTCGTAAATCTTTAATATAATAATAAGTGCCGTTACAAGCCGTGGATGCGTGAGATACTCAGGAGTTTGTAACCAAATTTTTTATCTATTAGTTAGCTTGTTTTTTTATGTAACCAGTGCTTCCTTCCAGCATTAAAATGAAGGGTACGACAGATTAAGTTTTACACCAAATCAAAAACGGCACAAATTACTTGAAGGTGCCATTCGAATCCTGACAGGATCCGGCTGACGGTGATCACGAAAAAAAAATGTTTTGTCCACGGACCGGAAAACTCGACTTTTTCATTCCTCCAAGAGATGATTTCTCCATCCATATTATGATAGAAATAATACGCACAGGGAACAAAGAAGAAAATATTATACAAAACAAAGTAGGAATGAAAAAGGGTACGGTATAGTTAAGATGATTGGATGTAAAGATTACGAATGTAATCGCTTACCATAAACAAAACAAGAAAATCATTCACCTACTTATTTCTAGCATCAGAGAGCAAAAAGTTCTATAAACCATCCAAGGTTAAGGAGCTTCGCCCCATTACAAGTTCGCCCCCACCACCTCTGCAAGCTCGCCCCATGAAGTGTTGCGCGTTCTCCCCCCACCTTCACCAGTTCATCCTCAAATCGTTCAACTCGTTTTTAAAATACGAAAGAATCTCAATTAGGCCTTCCATTGATGGAAGTGCTCTAAAGACCAGGTTAAAAGGCCATTTAAGTCCACACAAACTGTCAAAGTATTTTATTCGAAGTGCGTGTCTTGATTTCCCTGATCTCAACATAACTCTGCGCGCTTGGCTTTGATAAGGGAAATAGGGCGAGACAAGTACGCAAAGTTTCACGAGTAACTAAGGCCCCTGAAAGCCCACTAGGTCGGTACATTTTATTTCCAATTACACCACCTACTTTACTGGATCGGGTGAAGTTGCTTAAAGTGACGACCAAATGGGTGTTTGGGTTAAGAAACCTCGAGCTTGTTTAAATATTTTCCTATTAGCCGTTCTTGCTTGTGCCAGGTCTCATTATGGTTCGAGATGAACGAAATGTGTTGAGCAATGATCTGCTGACGGCCCCTGACGGCCCCTGACGGCCCCTGACCTTACTGGACAGATGGTCCGGGTGAATAATTATTCTCCACACCACATGATCCAAAAAGCAGCAGAATTTTATGATCTTAGTTGATTCTAAGATTCTTATTCTACTCCTTGCAGCCATATCCTCTTTCTCTTTTTCCTCTCAGGAAATTTTCCTAAAAACAGGTTAATGATTGTTGGGTAAGGCTTTCGACAGGAAGGTACTTGATGTTCAGTTGCCCACTTCCCTTGAGAGAAACCTTTGTGAAATTTCAAATGAGCTGTTGTCCGTGGCTTTCCAAATTTTTCTTATTTCCTTAACTTGAAGCCTCATCAGTTTGTTATCTTTAATAGGAATTGACGAAGAGCTCAGTTAGTAAAATTATCGCTTAACGGTTTGCGTACCGTATTTCTTAAAAAAGGAGTTCAAATTATGTTTTTTTGTGGGGTTTGGTGTACTAATTTGCCTACCTAGGTGAATGGTAATTGGTTAGAGGTGACCTTGTCTGAAAGGCTAATCAAATGAAAGTATTTTCACCTGCAGTCCTACAAAGTGTGAAATGTCCTACTGCATGGCGCCTGCGGGTCTGCTTGAACTAACAAGGTAAGACACCAAGGTGACAAGTCTTTAGAAGAATTCATTACGGATTCCTATTTTCTCTGTGTTCCCAATTCTTTCTCTCGTTTCATCATCAGTAGGCCATATAGAAACCAGAAACACAGTAGTGATTACTTCTAAACCCAAAGTTGCGTCTCTCGTTCGAACCAACGGCCACTCTCATTCTAACAACCAGCGTGAAATACGACGACGTCGGACATAGATGTCTAGAAATACCTGAGTGAGACGCTTAAATCATTTTGACATTAGTTATTACGCGTGATGCATCGCAGGAATAGAAATTTCATGTATTTGATGGCGCACTGTTGGCTTGGTATCACGTTTAGACGCAAAGTAATTTACATGCACTTAGAGTAGATAACATTACAAGTCCCGCAAAACGACAGAGATTTATAACCTAATCCGTAAATCCACCAATGGCGTGCGGTTTCCCTAAGGATTTCAAGCCAAACAACCTCACTCCAAAAAGGTGCCGCGTAATTAATCAAACTTGACAGCTTTCATTAATTATCGCCAACGATAGGCGACAATCTGATTAAATATCTACGCCAAAGACCCGCCATGACAGTAGAATTTCTTGAGGTGCTGCCTTGTTGCGGTAGATTGCTTTGTTAGTTTCATTACTTTTTTCATATCTAATAACAAGAGAGAATCTTCTATTCAAACGCCTTGTGTTGTAGTGATGAGCACTCGCAAATTAAAATGTTGATGTAGTGTGACTGGAATGGTGATTTTGCATCGAATGGATCAACGGAACGCCAAACTCGGATGACGCACTTGAAGTAACGCTCAAAATAAAGTAAGTACACCGATTTTCTATTTCCCAAGTTCTTGAAATTGACGAGTGAATGCACATTGCACTTCTTATCTGTTGAAGACACCTCGAAATTAGGTGTTACTGTGGGGGTCGTCGATTTCCGGTAACACATTTCCTCGTGGTACGTTTTACGGGAAATGAAAACATCATTATAAGGCACTTCATTTATCTATGGATACTTTCCATAAGAAAAAAACATTTTCCAGTATAATTGTCATGCTTTTTTTACCACATGTAAGTTGCCCTCGCCGCCTTCTACCAAACTATTCGGACTGAACAGTTTAATTTTGATTTGATTCTCCACCTTAAATATGGGGAATCTACGAAGGGTGATTTTTGCACAAATGTTAAATGTTTACTCGTTTTTGCTTGTTGTCGTTTCTTGAAGGTTCTATTCTTTGTTTAACTCTGGTATTCGAAAATTTACAGTGGTGACTATTAATCAACCGCACTCGGTATTGTGGTTCTGGTCTATAGAGTTATAGAGCACAGTAGTTCTTCAGTGTTAATTACGTTGGAAAGGAGGGTGAAAAAAACCTTTAATACGCAAACTAACAAAGAAATAGTGGGCTCCTCTTTGATTCAAGAGGGCGAGTATTGAACTTCACTTTGAACTGATTATTTTGTAACAAACGTAACCAGTGTCGATTGACTTCGCAATAAAAGAGGTCGAGTTCAGCCACAACCCTAGTGTATATGTGTCGCTTGAAAATGAAAATTTTGAAGCCCTTTAGCTGTCCTGAAATGCAAATTATTCATTATTCCACGATGTTTTATGTCTTAAAATGTAGGGGGTGTTTCTAACGAGAAGGGTAACCATTAGGGCCCAGATTCAAAGAGGAATTTGAGGAGAAAGCAGGCAATTTAGAAATGACAAACTCAAGTTAATTGGAAACGTAGAAAGAGTTATAAATCACTGCAAACTTTTGCCTTTAGTTTATGTGGACATTGTTAAAAAGCCAAAACGAACAATGAGCACAAAACACTCCTTTTCTCTCCTTGATTAACTTAAGTGTCATACTCTCATCCTAGATACGATTCAAATGTAACTTCGAAGAAGTGATTTTGGAAAGCAAGCGAGTCTCCGGGAAAGGAAACGATCTCCCTAAAATAAAGAGGTATTATTGACTCCTGCATTTAAAGCACATAACATGACGATGATTCAGACTTAGACGGTTTGACATCTAGATGGCACGTTAAAACTGTCATGAAAAGATTTTAGACTTACTACAGACCAGAACTAGCCACAGTGACCGAGTTTTCACCATTATTGTTGTAGTACATCCGATTAAATTTTTTGGCATGTAGCATTCGCTTTTGTCTAGGAACCATTACTCCTCTCTTAAATAGTTCGATACACACTCAATAATATTTCCTTCCTTAGATGGCTAGCACTGCTGCTTGGGTCGAAAAACAACAGAGAGAACCAAAAACTCATAAACACTCCTCGCAAGTAACCTTCGCGGATATTTTTCCACTCTGTTTAGAACCCCACAGTTTCTTTAAGTGTGAAGTGCAGATTAGTTCTAAATTGAAAAGAATTACTGCCTATTAGAAGATGCCATTTTCACACCCTCAAATGTTGCCGCAAGGTTCCTAGAGCATTAAAAAGTAGACGCGCTGGCGACTGAGGTGCGAAAGAAGCCAGTTCAACAATACACAGCCGGGATGATGCAAGAAATCTCTTGTTTTCGTTTTGAAAACACCACTTTTGTCTGACGTACTTGACTGTCAAGCCTGTCGAAATAGCTTTCGGATTTTCACGTTTCTAGTAAAATTGGAGAAGTTTATCATATGTATTAGATGATTAATACGCAGAAGTTTCTGAATTGTTAAAAGAAAGTGAGAAGCGAAGGGTTTTTCCTGAATATTCTAAGGTAACAAAACAGGATCAGCAGTGTTCGGTTTTTTCAACATTTAATAACTGAATGTGGATTAAGTCAAATCGTTTGTTGATCCTCGGGCCGTTCCTTGGTTTTGACGCTTACTGTTTGCTAGTTTATCAGAGAATTCGGAGGAACCAAACTGAATGTATGATGGTTATGATACATAAAATCACAGATAAGAACTCCAACAAAACAAATGAGGAGAATGCAGAACGAGCCAGTAGAGGCCAGCATGGCTTCGATACGGATATTAGGGCCACGATTTAAGGTCATCGTCATCTCTAAAGATGAAATGAATGAATGCATATCTCAAGAAATGTAGAGTTGATTTTTTGATCCATATCTGTTCACATGAATGGGAATAGGAACAACAAGTTTAGGAGCGTGAAGCTTTCTGTTTCCATGAGCTTGAGGTCCACCGAGAGTCCTTACTCTCTTCCATTTCGCTCGTCTGTTCTGAAACCAAATTTTCACTTGAACCTCGCTGAGTTTTAAAGTTCTTGCAATGTGTGATCTCTCTTCCAGTGAAAGGTACTTTTTGGTGTGAAATTCTCGTTCAAGTTCTAACAGTTGTTGGCTTGTAAAAGCCGTTCTTTTCCGTCTGGATTTGGTTCCTCCCTCGGAGTCTGAATTTTGGTCTTCTTGTTCGTCCTCATCACTCCCAGTTGGTGAATTTGGATGAGCTTTGCCACTAAAGCCTAGTAGAGGAAAATGGGCATCAAATAGATAATAAAAGCAGTACATTTAACTTAATCAGTAATTGTCAATTTCCTAACACAGAAGCTTTATTGACCACGCAGTAAACGAGGAAAGAACCGGCACATGAACATCATGGGAGGACCAAAAATTCCATAAGGTCTTTAAGAACATAGCTTTTATAATTAGAATAAATGCAGTAAAAATTTCCTTTAGATAAATGTTGAATAACGCTGGATACCTCTCCTAAAAATAAAGTTGTTAAGAGCAATTCCAGCGTGAAGCAGTTTCTAATACATTCCTCTCTGGATATCGAATCCAATTACTACAGCAACATATAGAACAGAACACTCACTTGTTGGCGAGGAGGGGAAATGATCCATTACGTTCTCTCTACGAAAATGTTTGTCCAATTTTTCTTCCTCCATTTGAAATACAGAGACTGTCCTGTCCGAATAGATCCCATCGCCCCGCGGTGTGAGCTCAACCAAATTCTGCATGGCACTCAGTGGTCCGCGGCTTAAAATTCCTTGGCTGTCATAATTTTCTTCCCCTGTTTGCTTCGGAGGATCTCTTCTGGAAATAATCGATTCAATAGAGAAAGAAATCGAATTTTGCATTGTAAGTCGCCCACGTCTTCTTTGTGTTAATACAAGAGCGAACACACATTAATGACTGGTGGAGTTCGTATTGTTTCTTATCGGATTACGCTCTCTCTGCTAGCAGACGTTACTAATTACAGGGGCTGAGATTTTTTTACGTCAGCCGGACACGTCCCATTGGTTGTTAAGTTGTCAACTGACAGGCGTGAAGAATAAACCGAGCACAAGGGCAAAAATCCTTAATACTTTCAATTCAGTCAAACTAATCAATGTATAATGAAACTTGATTTTTCTTCATTGTGTTAAAAATTATTAAATACTACAAGATATTTTCATTTCTTAATTGCCCGGGCGGTATTTTTTTTAAAAAGAATTTTGCTGTTTGAACGACACGCTAATTACTCGTAGTGTGAAGACAAACAGATCCTGAGTTTCAGAATAATTCATTCAGATGCTGCGAAGTACACAGCACCCACACAGTTGAGCTTTTCCGCATCTATGACCTGACCTCGCTCTCTGATCACCCTAAATCATCGCTCCTACCATTAAGTGTCGCGTATCAAGACTGAAAAATACTCTGTTTGATTCTCTATCTTCAAGTTTGAAGCTTCTTTCAACCGGTTTGCCTCAATTTTTTTGCTTGTGATCTACTCGCGGTTGTTACCTAGTAAAAGGTTTACGTAACTGTCGACTTTGACGCCTTAGACTTCTTTCCGTTGACACCTTGTACAAACTTCCGAGGTGGAACAGGCTAAAATAATGATGTATTATTTCATCAGAAGAAGACAGATATGATTTCAATTGCCTCGGTGGTCTTTTTAAGAATAAGTGCAAATCATTAAGAGTCTGTCTTCCCTTTCCTTCCGCAGACAGGTGACCATTTCTATGTCTTCTATGGTAAATGGATACATAACATCAATAACAATACCAACTTAGCATAAGAATGTAACTGGACCGACCGAAGACAGAGCTCGAAATACTGTTGGTTCAGTTTAACAAGTCTCGAACTTGCAAGAGGGCCAAGAACGCGTGAAGAGGAAGTTATTTGAAACGACTGCTAATCAAGGTGATATCACCATGTTTGTCTGGAATACAGTGCTGTAATCCAAATACATCTTACTCACTTGCAGAAATCCCATAACTACTTTAATATAATAAAGTTAAACGCAAAGGTAAACAAGATGCAATCGAAACCCTTCAAAACCCGAAACCAAAAGCCTTCAAACTGACCAAACCGACCATCCAAGCCCTTCAGTTGTTGCCACTAAAAGTGTGAAAAGTTATTCAGTGAGAGGCGCCTTCGGGTCTATCAGCCTGTACACAAAGGACTAAATCTGATCAGATTAACTGGTTACGTGCTGATTTTTTTGGTAATTACCACAACTGATGACATTATTCATTAAATTGTCGTGTGTCCTCAACAGACGATGCCGACTTCGTCCTTGTGATAATCTCTTAAGCTGTTCCAGACCAAACAACTATGCATTATGCATTTGCTAGACTATAATGAGTTCTGTTGGTTTGTTCTGTTCAAACATTAATTGTTTGCAATAATGCTAACAATAATATTAATGATCATAGTAGTGATCATAATAAAAATAATAACGATATTGATAATGATGATGACTGTTGCTAAGCCTGGCACCGACGGAGATAACCTTTGCCTAATGATCCGGTCTAAACCGGTCTAAGGGTGAATGATAATCAAACATCCGTATGTTAGTGCAAGATACTATATATAGCATGCGCGAAAAGCTTCATTGCAGGAACAACATAACACAAACGTGGGTATATGAGTAACAAGCGGACCCAATACGCGTGCGCTATAAACATGTCTGCAAATTTGTTAAACTGAGTTAGTGTGCAGCCTAATGCGGGGCGCCTGCTCCAGTAAGTTGCACCCCACACGTGCGTGATGTGATGTGCAGTTAGCTAACGAACAAGCCCTTTTCAAGTATCTCGTGGCTCTCTAGAAGTCTAAGGACTCGACTCTCACAGATTTCGCGAGAGGCCCGTGAGGTATACTTTCAGCAGTGACAGTTAGAGTCTACTCGCAGGTTAATATGTACATATAACATAATACACTCTCGTGTATGTTGTATTTGTACCATGGCATTTACAAAGAATCCAAATAGCTTCCTGTTGGTAGGAATTTGTGGAAGCAGTGATGGCATCTTTTCCTTTTCCTTAAGGGGGAGGTGGAGTTAGGTCAGGCAAGTCTATAACTTGACTGAATTTGTTCAGAATTGGGTGCAAATATCATTGATTAATAACCATGGTTGACTCCTTTTCGTTATTGACGGATTTGCGCATGTGCAAAAAAATAATGTTTCCCCTTATTCTTGATTTCAGTGTAATATTTGGTACGCACTGATCACTTTTTCTCTTTGAAAATAATTTTTAGCTTTATCTCGGAAACAGACGATCTAAAAATTTTCACTGCGCGTTTTGGGCACTTTTCCCGATTCTCAAAGAATGTGGATTGATGCGAAGGCATGTTTGATTCACATGTAGAATATCTTGGATGTAGATGCTTTCCCGTAGAGGGACTATCACAAAGGGCACTAGCCATTCAGAATGGCATCAAGGTGCAGCTAGAGCCTCGAAACGATATAACATCTACTACCGGGACATCCAGTCTGTTCAAAATTCTGTTCCTCACTTTGTCTTCAAAACTAAGAAATTTGATCGCATTACTCCTACCTGGCTTCCCGTTAGGTGTCGTATTGTTTCTTAAGACTTTTCTTTTAGTTTACAAATCTTTTAACGCCATGATCCCATTGTATTTGTGAGAACTTTTAGCATATCGCAAGAGTTCGTTTTCACCTCGATCTACTTGCAACAATGACCTCAATGAACCATCTTCGAGAACCCGCACTTATGGTAATCGGTCTTTCGCTGTGTCTGCCTCAAGAATGTGGAACTTGTTGCCGCCTTTTATTCGTAGAAGTTCATCAATTCCATTTTTAAAAGAAACTTTGAAAACTGGCCTTTTTGAAAAGTTTCTCAAAGAACATTTTAAAACTTTTTTTCTGCCATTATTGTAAAGTGCCAAGGACAATTTTTTATGAGTTGTGCGCTCTAGAAGCACTCCATTATTATTATTAATATCATTATTATCCCAAGTTCGTCAGCTGTCAGAGACTTCCACATTCGCCTATTCTCAACGGGATTTTTTTCGTCGGTGTATCCTTTATTTTAACTTGATGTTTAGCAAGAAGGGTGGTACTTCGTTTCTGTTTTCAGCGGATAACAATTTCTGAAAAATCTTTAATGCAGTACGTGGTACGCTGTGCAATTTGGTACAGTCGTCAATTCTGCACGCACGCAGCGTACCGCCATACCCAGAAGAAGCTGGTGAAACATCAAGTGGAGAAACTCTCGTCAATGTCAACTTAAGTCCATCTGTCAGTCCGCAAGTTCATGAGTTGTTGCACTACGTATTTCCATACTTATGGTAGCCCATGAAATAAGATAAGATCTCTTACCTTATTAATTCTGTGAGCACAAGCCGCACACACTATGTGTTCTTGGTTAATAATTGTTGACACGAAACGAACAAAATCAATAAAGCTACTATGAATAAATCTCTGAAAATGAATTAATGAGTTGTCAGTAATCGGATCCCTGTGTTTCCGCAAACAGCTCTGGGGTCGCCACAGGGCAAACATTTCAAGTTGCTAGAAAGAAATGTATGGCGAAAGGTCGTTTGGACGTCCAAAAAAATCGATTTTGGAGAGAGATCAACGTTAGCGTTTGATCGAATGGATTTCGTTTCGAACTGATTCCACTGTTCAATTGAAAACAAAGTCATATAAACTAATCGTACATGAACTAAACTTGGAAAACGAACGTGCAATTTTGTAACGTTATGATATTGTGAGGTATACATGTGATTAAAGGGACAATACTGCTTTTCGCATGTAAGCTGAGAAAACTGTGTGCACCCTTAAGTTGTTCTCTAATTTGGTCAATCAAATCACGTGACTTACCATTTCACTAAATGACGTCACGGTATCCATATCGATATCGAAGAAAATCGTTAGTATCGTACTTGGTATCGTATCGATTCGGAAAAACTGAGCGTCTGATTGGCTGAAATGTGTGGTGGCCGTTTACATTATCAATATTGTCATCATTCTATTGTCTCGGTAACCAATATGACCGCCGTGAAGTCATGCAACGATTAACTCGATCGATCGAAGAAGCTTGCGGAATGTAAAAATCTTGCCACAATGCTACTGGTACTTTCAATTAATGAAAGTTAATTAAGATAACTTTCTTAAGCGAAGGGAGGCGAGATAAAATTCTGAAACGAGATCTTCAGACCGTTTAGACTTTCGAAATGTCTAGAAAACTATAGCTAGGGGAACGTAATTGATGTTTATTAAAGGTGAGCTTTAAGAAAAGGAAAATTTTAATAATCAGGTTCGATTTCCGCCGTTTTCTTGAATCCGGGGAGGAACGCAAGCCTCGTTAATGGTCAATATTCAGTGCCAGACAATCGTAGAAATAGAGTAAACCAGTTATCCTACGCACCTTATTGTACTACGATCTCGCATTAAGGGTCCAACTTGATGGTCAAATCGAGTCCTAAAACCACTTACAAGTGGACCCTTCACTTATTGATAGGGGACCACTCATTATTTATCACCTTTT